CTACTGCAGGGATTAAGGTATTAGAGCCACCTCTACTCATTAAACCACGATGCAGTTATCTTCCGGCTTGCCAGAGCAGGGAGTGGAAAGTTTTTCTCCCTGTCATCACAGCATAAGCAGATTGGAACTTCAGTCAGCCAGTGAGCTAACCAGCTACCCCATTTATGAGGCCTCTCAACTGGCTGTCTGCTAAAACTCATCACTGTTCACTGCCCTAGGGGGGCATGGACAATGGTCAGGACTAGACAGCAGGCCAAGCAGGGGATACTTTTCAGAGACCAAGTACATTCCAGATCACAGCCACTTCTTAGTATTTTGGAGGGAGCTCAGAAGCAACATTAGCCGCAAAAGAATAACACCAAGTAAAAGTCCTGGCTCTGCTATCACAAATATTACCACTGTGGGAGGAAGTGGCACTATATCATGGCTCAAAATTATTTTTTGAGTTGGAGTCTCACTCCATCGACCAGGCTGGAGTGCAGTGGCACGCTCACAGCCACCCCAGCATTCAAAGTATCATAACTTGTTAAAATTAGGTTGTATAAAGGTAACAAAGTTGAAGAGAGCCTGTGAACAGATCTATTTCGAAGCAATTTCTATGGAGGGTCCAATAATATGCTTTATTCACTGAGCTTTACTGCTGATAGAGGAGAAAGGGTCAAGCCCTGAGAGCTGAGGACACGGTGACTCCAGCATGTCTTTGTGTAGGCCCTGCTTAATTAGTAAATGTGATAATTATAAAAGGAAGAAAAGATTTAAAAGACAGAATTAAGGCCAGAAATTTGAAACCACTAACCTATACCACAAGGGGGCAACGATGGAACACTAACAACCTGGAGTGGTAGGCAACTTTGGCAGACTGCACTGTTCTGTTTATTTCCTTTTTTAACACCATGCTGAGAGGGCTGTGGCCTGGGTGAGGAGAGGTGGACTAGTTGCCTCCGCCTCCCCTTCATTCTCCTACAGGGGATGGCGCCAACTCTTTTTATGCTAGCAGCATGGCTGTCAGGGGACCGAGGGCACAGGAAAGACAGCAGGAGAGAAAGCCAAGCAGCTGGACTTCTCCCCACAATGGTCAGCTGC